CATCGTTTTCTCCTTTGACCTCGGTTTAGCCGTAACTCTTACTACCTCTTGCTCTTACTCTATGAACCACAAACGAAATTAAGCCCACCTGTTCCAGTTATCAGAAGTATGACCTGCTCTTTCGTTTACTGAAAATGATTACGTGTTCAATAAAGGTGCAATGAAGGACAAAAAGGACTGATATGTGCATGTCTACACTCTTCCTCGCCTTTCGTTAAAAAACGCTTCAAAGTTCCTCCAACATTTTTACGTTTTTGTCCTGACGCATCAGGTTAAATTTATCATCATCATCATCATCATCATCACTTTTATTTATTAAAAGGTTAACATAAGGCTAATATACAAATATAGAGCTCTAATTCATATAATTTATATACCTTTAAATCCTAAAATATTTCAATTTATTTATTAATCCTACTATTATGGCACTCGTACAATAAGGCCTGCTGCCGAAAGCTAGCAAAAAGATTTTGCTTGTGTTACATCAGAGGCAAAATTGTTCCACAGAACAGCTGAGCTTAAGCAGAAGCTATTTCTATAGGAATTGGTCCGTGGCCAGAGGACAGCAAGCTTATAGGGATTAAATATTTTACTGCGTCGTCATATAAATTTTAGAGACAGGTAATCAGGCGCAAGGCTACACCATCACTGCCTTTTGAATGAGACGTTGGGTTTCAAGGTTTTGCCACCCCAAGTCATTTGATACACATTGTAGTATCATGGCGTTTGTTTGCACGGGGCTAAAGGTTTGACCGGTTTCAAACTTTGCGCGACATAATGACTCCCAGCAACACGCAACAGGGTGTGCAAACGGACGCAACATATAACATCCAATAATGTTGGGAGTTATTGGTCTACAACGGTGCGTCCATTTGCAGGGGCTTTAGATTTTCATCAATTAGCGCGCCAAGAGTGGCATGAGAAAGTTTGCCGGAACGTTACATTAGTAGATGATGAAGATTAATTGTTAGTTAAGAACTGGAGACTCCAACTTCACACGTAAGTCATTACAGGATGCTAGAAAAAAGAAAGAATACAAGTAAGATTTNATTAATTGTTAGTTAAGAACTGGAGACTCCAACTTCACACGTAAGTCATTACAGGATGCTAGAAAAAAGAAAGAATACAAGTAAGATTTAGCAACTGAATCAAAAGAGTTTGACACAGTATGAATTAAAAGACCTCAGAGCCGCATTTTACCTCCCGGAAATTTAAGGTGGCTCGATCTAAACCGCTTTTCAAGATTTTTTTTTGCGATCTACAAGAATGGTTAAGGCTTTATAATTAACCTTAATTCTGGAAGAACTATATAAAATCTGATAAAATGATAAGAAAACTAAATAAGAAAAAGTGTGCAATTGGTTTTAAATAAAAAGTCCCGAATTTAGTGAACAAGTCCATTTTAAGTGGTAGAGTATTTATACGCTTCCTGAACAATGAAACGAAATACTTTACTCTTACTTGTTGTTCTGTACACGTACTATACGGAGGAGGTTGATCTCCATCATGCAAGCTCCACGTGTCAGACTCAGTTGTGGAAATTTGATGATAAGGTGGAGGTGGGTCAATTTCCTGAGGAGGGATCGGAGTAGCCTCTAACGGAACGAGCAAGAGATCAGGACCCTGGGAACAAGTTTGGGTGTCACCAGTATAAGGTGGAGGCCGGCCAGTTTCCTGAGGAGGTACTGGAGTCGTCGCCAAGGGGACAAGTAGGAGATCAGGATCCTGGGAACCATGTTGGGTGTCAACACCATAGGGTGGAGGCAGGCGGGTTTCCTGGGCAATACTTTGAGGAGGCATAGACGCAATCTGGGGGTGACTACCAGAAACGTTGGGTGGGCTTGAAATTAGTTCAGCCTGGTAAAATATATGACACGCTTTTTATATTTTATCACAGAAAAAGAACAAGTTACTTATTACTTTTACTTAAAATAAATTTTGAGACTATAAATTGCAGGGATATTATCCAAGCTACCGGAAAAAATATACAAATATTTTGAGAAATTGCATACACTAGTTTTAATATTCTTTCTATTACCTGACCAGAAGATGTCGCAACACAGCAGCAACCTGCACATCCAATAATACACCCCAAAATGCCGAGTATCATGATGCTAAATCCAATAGCCTTTTGTGATTTACAAAGTGCATCACAGATACTGTAATAAACTCCATCACCAGTACCCCATCGGATTGCAGTGACAAAGCCATAGGAAACAAAGACTACACCACCAAACACACTTGAGACAATGTCAAAACCTAAGAATGTTCCAGCCTGGAAATAGATTATCAAACATCAGGGGGCTTGTAAATAATCTCATATTTTAAGTAGGTGGAGCATTGTCATCCTGGTGAGTGTACAGCCAACTCTCTCTTAACAGACACCTCTATAAGACAGACACCTCTGTAAAACGGACACCTAGAGTTGGCCCCTGCCTTTCTTTACTCCTTTTATTTGACTCTTTATAAGACGGACATCTCTCTACGATGGACACTTAGTACCGGTCCCAAAGGTGTCTGTCTTAGAAAGAGTTGACTGTAGTCCTAAAACTAGGACGGTTGTTGACAGTCACTGACATTTGGATGTAAGAAATAAGTGTCAGTGAGTCAATGAGTCATGATAAAAGTTTGAATCTCTTGGATTTCGTGAGCAAAACTCGTACCATCTAAATGGGCCTAAATTTTATGGTATGTTTTTATTTGTCAACCTACCAAGCTCTTGCGGGTACAGCATGTCATCTCTCTTACATTCTTTCTAGTAGCTAGAATTCCCAGAGCTCCTGTAATGCACATCTGTAAAAAAAATGTTTATGATTAAGGATTCATTAAGAAAAGACAGAGAGGGATTGGCCTAGGTTATCGAAATTGGTGACGTTTCATTGCAGCCTTACATGTATGTCTCAGTCCAGATGAAGAGGTTGTATTAAAGAGTGAGTGTTGATTTTGGTGGGTTAGTCATCAAGGATTAGAATTAATAACCTATTTAGTTGCTTTATACGTAGTTCCTCCTTCACTCTAAATGCAGATATCTAAAAAAACTTGAGATGTTCAAATAAGCACGATGCACGACACACTTGACTGTTATTGAAAAATTTACATTCAAATCTGTGTGCCCGTGTTGATGTATGACACTGCATATGATCAAGAGAAGTCCTACAGTTTCAAATTCTGCACAGCGCTTATACCCCAGGATCTTGAGGTACTCAATAAAGATTTGTATGCAGAGACTTCACACCAAACACTTCAACTGACCCAAGTTCTAATGTATGTAGATTAGAAATTTCATTTCATTACCTTTTAAGTGCGGAAAATGCACTGGCTTTTAGACATCAATAAATCACAAAACCAGAACATTTTCTCACCTTTTTCACAGCCATTAAATGCACTTTACAGACAAAAAAAGAGACAGATTTCCATACCCTTTACGTAGTAATATACTTGAAGAATGAAAGGGGCACCTCCTGAAATAAGCCATGGTAGGGGGTAACCCCACCCCCCAGGGGTTATACATGCTGTCACCTTGTGGTCTCCCCACGTAAGGAAATGCAAGACAGTCTTGAATTCTTGATTCCACAATGTGGATCCCGGCATTCCGAGAAACTGGATTCCAGATACCAATCATTTAGTTGGTATCTAATGCTGTATTCCAGAGTCCTAAGGCAAGATTCCAGATTCCACAAGAAAAACTTCCTGGATTCCGGATTTCAGAGGCAAAACTTTTCCAGATTACAGAATCCGGATTCCCTTACGTGGAACAATTATAACTCAGGTCTGTTCAATATGCAGCAATTATTGGATGAGGCCCCGGGGTACTCAACAAAAATTTATACGGGGAGGCTCTGCCCCGAAGTCCAACCCCTTACCCTTTTATATACCATTTTTCACGAAAAAGGTGCCCCTTTCATATATTTTCTGTTGACAAATGGTACCCCTTACACATACCTTGTTAAGAACTTTGCATCCCTTTTAACTGCTGTAAATGCACTGTGTCTTTTAAATAAGAACTAATCACAAAAATAGAACGTTTTCTCGACTTTTTAATTAAAGCCATAAAATTCATCTTTTAGCCCTAGTACAGACCCAAATGATAGATTTATCTGCCCTTTTGTAAAGTTCAACTGGTGAATTTCTACCCATTCATATACCTGAAACATGAAAAAGGTACCCCTTTCGGGCCGAGCCTCTCCGTATAGGCCATCAAAGCGAGTACCCCCTCCCCTCTCGCTCCGCCCCCTCCCGGGGGATGAGGCTGAGTATCAAATCCTATAAAGGATGAAGTTGGAGATCGAGGCGTTTATCTGCCGAGGCCTATTACGCTTCAGATCACAGCCTCATCTAACAATTAATTGCTAAATTTTATACTCGCGAAATTGAGAAATTAAGTGAGAGTTATATATAAGGTAGCCGTATAGTTGTAAGCGGAAATATCTGAAATATGTAAGCCTAAGTCTAAGCTTTATTATTTGGCAATGCGAACCTACCATAACTCCACAAAAGACTGCAAAGTATAATCGCTCTATCCAATACTCGTTGTAGAGTCGATCTAAGATTCCAAATACAAACAACAACATTCCGACGACAATATGTGTCAAGGCGATGAACCACGCGCACTTCAAATGACTTGGAATGATGCAGGTACAGCAGGTATATGTTTCAGCTTCCATTTTGAATCTTCATAGTTGACGGAGGAGCCCTGGGCCGATAAATGGCACGCACTGCGTGCAAATTTGAAAAGTTCACTGAGCCATATAAAAAAATTTGTTATCTATTGCTTGTTTTTCTCTCCACTATCTTTAATCGTGCATATGTATATTACTACAATATCAGGCACGAGGTTTTCAATGAATTATGTATATGAACAAGCAGACACACGCAGGTTAATACTTTTTATTATATAGAGACGAGTGTTTCACTGGAAAATATACCACTCGTAAAATTCATAAAAACTACATCCGGGACCCAAGTGGTTTATTTTCCATAATCTCTCACGTGAGTTTATCGATGACGTAATTTCGGTAATTTCCCTCTATTATTTTATCGATGTCTTTTTGTCTATGTAATAAAAAGAACATTACACGGCGGCTTGAAGAAATGAATTTTATTTTCTCGTGGCAAAAACAATATTTTATTCACTCGCTGCGCTTGTTCGTAAAATATTGTTTTGTCACTCGAAAATAAAACTCATATCTTCGCGCCACCGAGTAATATCCTCTATATAGATACAGTGCAGTGAAACCTCTCCTTTTCTTATCTTCCCTCTTTTTCTTATCTATGTAAAGCGCATTGAGAATGTGAAGGTGGGCGAGGGTAGTGAACTCTACAAAACCGCCATGCTACGCAGGCTAGTCCACAACGTGGCTGCCTTGAAGATCGATTTTATTTTGCAAGCACGTTGTTTTTGTACAGACTATTCACTGCCAGTAAGGTCAGGTCCTCTCAGAGGACTATGTTAACTGAGGCCAGTTAGCGAAAATCAGCCAGCACATGGGCCGAAAAGAACGCCTTAAAATCAGTCACGGTGGGGGAATTTTACAGACCTTTGAATCAGTTGGTAGTCAAGTTTTGTGGGACAACATCTTCGCTCGCTTAAGACGTACGTGACCTTAAAACTTGTTAAGTTCACTAATTTTAAGGCGCTCTTTCCAGCAGTGTCAAAGGCCTTTTTTGAGGGGCTTATTTTTGGAGGGGCTTATATTCGGGGGGGCTTATGTACGGAGGGAAATTTGCGTTTCAAAATCGATTGGGCTAGCTTGTAGTGGGAAGGAAATTTACCATTTTTGCTTTGTTTTACTTAGACTACGAGTAGTCCCCCATTTTTCCTCAGGGATAGTAGAACGAGCGAAACGCGAGCGCGGATGAAAATCACCCCACACGAGAAAAGGCGACACGCCGCGTGTCGCCTTTCTCGCGTAGGGAGATTTTCACGTGCGCTCGCGTTTTGCTCGTTCTACTATCCCTGAGGAAAAATGGGGGACTACTCGTAGTCTATGTTTTACTTTGTATTCGAGGGCAAATTAAAAGTACAAGCCCCCGAGGGGCTTATATCTGGAGGGGTGATTTAACGGAGGGTTTTTTGCGTTACGATTTTGGGGGGCTAATATTTGGAGGGGCTTATTTTCGGAACGTTACGGTATTCGCTTACTGGTCGATGAGGTAATCTGGTAGCTTTAACGCTGTTATCAAGTCATATACATAGACCTGCAACAACTTCCCGCCATTTCTGCAAGCCTTGGGAATATAAGAGAACAAGGGTATCAGAGAAGCACTCTTGCAAAAACGTGCTGCCTTTGCAACCTTAAAACCCGCATGTTGCGCTATTTAGCGATCTGACAAACGTACATGAAATATATCATATACGAGAACTGCAGAAATGCAATCAAATGAAGAATGATCCTCGCAGTTGTAAACGCAATTTATGCAATTGCGAAAGAAGCCTGAAAAAAAAATCAGGGCTTCAATAAAATATCAAGACCTCAATACTTAATAAAATATCCAATCCCCTTGAATAAAAAATACATCGCGAGATCACGAGTTCAAATCCCGAAGAAGCCCTGATTTGTTTTTCGGGCTTCTCTCGCAATTGCATAAATTGCGTTCAGAATTGCGAGGATTATTCTTTATTTGATTATTTTGCTAGGCTTAATCTTGAGTTTACCTTACCAAGAAATGGTTGTCCAAATTTTTAAAAACATAGTCTATGGTCCACATTTTATACCTATCCATCTTTTATACCCAGACCGCAGTCCGTAATCAACAATAATTCAAGCTACTTTAAAACTGACCAGTTGAAATATGCCTTTCTGTCGGTAAATTATTCAAGAAGAACAACAAGAGCCAGTGTTATCATTGGTGTGCTATATAACATGGAAAAACGTGAAGCGTAACCAGTTATCCACTTTGAGGACTGAATTACACATTTGAATAATTCTTTGAAAGGCTTAAAATGTTGAAATACACGAATTTGTAAACCTCAATTCTCAATTACTACACTTCATACTACTACCTGACAAATTTCTGCAATTTGATTGGCTTAGAGCAGTGGAATCACAGCTTAATTTGAAATACCTACATGTGAAAATTACAAAACTTTTGCGGGTAGTAGTGTAAACAAATAATAGCATGATTTGTACGTGATATTAAGCAAAAATTTTAAAATTGTCTCAAATTTCATTCGCCTATAAACGGCTCGTGAAATTACGTATAACAATTTTGAAATATCACTCGAGCTATTTATGCCAAATTTCACTACAAGTCATTCTATTACCTGCACAAACTGCACAATAGGATTTTGAAGGCATCAGCGAACCCACTATCACAATACTACTAAAGAGAAAAAATGAAATGAAATAAAATAAAATAGAATAAAACTAGTAATAACCAAAGGTTACGGAGTGCGGGCGCGCTATGCTTTGCATAAGTTTCACGTGACAGATAGTCATAACAAGCGTGATCAGATTACGAATGAGTTGAAGGTCCAAACGCGCGTGATCAAATTGCGTCCTGTGCATTCCATTCACTCTTAGTGGAAGTCCAAACAAACAACTGCTGGCTACATACATGCGAAGCATGCGTAATAACAATCTGGAGATTACGATTGCGGGCTCCTCTTGTCGCCCGTAATTAATAAACAGCACTATTTTATGTGGCACGGCCAATATAAAATGTTAAATAGCGCGAGAACCAAAACTCGTTTTCTTGGACAACACTTTATTGTTGGACTCTTTTTTTGTTTGTTTGTTTATTTCTAGCCTTCATCACAAACAGTAACAATATTATACTCTTTAATGTTTTTTTTCCTTTGATTCCGGGTATCGCTTGCGACGTTTAAGCAACTAGGACTACAAGGCTAAAGGGAACGCATTAAGAAGGAACTAATAGAATACTTTACTTAACTTTAATTTGTTTAATACGTCTTATGTTAGTTAGCTGTTCAGTGTGCAAACCCTTACGAAAGACTAAAAATTTGCAGAAGAAAATAGATCTTATACGGTCAACTCTCTTTATAGCGGACACTGTAGGGACCTCAAATTAGTGTCCTCATTTGCGCGAGTCTGTAACAGCGGCAGTTAATTTCAGTCAAACGTCTGTAATTTGTTTTCGCCAGGGATTTAGCTGCTGTCCGTGTTATCGCGTTGTCCGTTTTAGCGGGTTGTCCGCAAGGCGAGAGTTGGTTGTATATCCATAGAGAGTCCGTGGCCTCCACAAACCTTTTAGGGTGCATTCGAATGGAAAATCTGGATTTAGATTTTAAAATACGGATTTCGGATTTGCAATCGAACGCGTTCGATTGCAAAATCCCAAATCCGGTTTTCAAAATCTAAATCCGGATTTCCCAATCGAACGCTACCTTAGAGCAGAACATGACAAAATGAACTAAACTGCAGTGAAACAACAGTCCCTTATATCGACTTATTCAACGCACATAACTGCTGTGTCTGCTTGCCCCCGTACGGTCACAAAAGTGGAAGAAAATTATGACATCTTGGCCGGGAGTTGCCGTCGCGGTTGCTTAAACCCATCTTGTAAAAGACTGGTTGTTTTGCGTGGACTCCGTATTAATCGCGCTTTACGTTCAGTACATTCTGCACATAGAGCCAGTTACACAGACTTCCAACAACGCCTCTATTTCATTGAACTCCATGCTTTGAAAGCAAAAATCACGTGGTTCTATATCATGGTTGATCACATGTACTATCAGTAGATTTCACGAGCTCAACTGTCTATTATCACATGTCAAGGCGAATCGTTCTCCCGATGGTACTCAAACTGTTGGTGATACTTGGCCAGGATTTTCTGAAGAGAACGAAGATCGACCCACCACTGATCTTTGGGAACACGATGTCTACAAAAAAAATACTTAAAACTGTAATAACCAAAGGTTAGGGGAAGCGGGCGAGATCGACGAAGCGCTCTTACTCCAACACCGTGCTTTGCTTAAGTGATAGAAGGTCCAAATGCGCACGATCTGATTGCGTTTTATCAAGAGATCATAATAAGGCAATAACTCTTGGTTATATGCTTTTCATTAATTCTTAAAGGTGATGTTACGCGAGACGATTCGCAACGACGATTTTTAGCCCAACACAGCGTTGAATCATTGAGATGCGACATTGCTTCGAATGGTTGCAACATTTTTTAATTGAAGTCCAAACGAAAGCTGGCAACACGTGCCACGCACGTGTAATAGCAACCTGGAGATTAAGATTGCGGGCTCCACTTGTAGCCCGCACAAGGGGGAATCTGCCAATCTACACTAATATGCCTAGTCAAGCTGCCAGCATTCTGCTGCCGCTAACCGCTCTACAAATGCAAGATGCCTTAATGCATCTTCCTACATTAAAACCCGGCAAAACTAAAGAGGTAAAACTTACTTGAAGTCTGTGACTAGTTTGAGCTCCTGCACAGGTGTGAAAGGGTTTTCAGCCTTCTTGATGCCTAAGAGGCAGGCTGTGTCTGGAGAAGACGTCTCAATTTTCCCTGAAACAAGAGTAGCGCCATTTGTTTTCAGCTAAAATTCTTTCATTTCGAGTTAGTTTCATTGTAACATTCAATTGCCTTCACTAAGGGAAGTAGTTAACTCAGGGGCACCCAACGACTGTTTTCTTTAAAACATCTGTCCGGAGAAGCAAATATTTCCTAGAATTTTCTATGGCTTGAGAACGGC